AAAAGAAATGAAATGGCTGGTGCTGTTTGGGATCTTGGAATCTGAGAAGGAACACTCTGAGGCTCTGGAGTCTGTCAGGGAAGCAACATCACACAATGGAGAACATCACCACTTTAAAATGTTGATGTATTTATGTAAATACAGAGTTTCTAGCAACATCAATGATTCATTCTTCAGCAGTGCTTAGTTATATAACGAGTAGGTAAAGCATTATGTTTCAACTTCAGTGTCAGCTTGGGTCTTCCTGGCCTCTATTTGGTTATTATGCACAATGGTAAAGACACTGAAATGAATCATTAGCGCTTATGATAAGTAATAAACAATTTGAAAACAGCCACTGATTATTTTCAGAGTTTTCAACACTGGCAAGTGAGCCTGTTTGTACTGGAGTTGTTTCAACTGCCTCCTCTTAGCCTTTTGCTTGTGCCAGATATACTCACAGGGGAAAAACAGAGCACTGCAACTTCAACAGGAAATATTGGAAACATTATCACTCCTCTCTAGTGCCCTGGATCTGTGCACAGGGCTCTTCCTGTGTTCTCTGATAACTTGGAGCAAAAATATGGATGTTACACTTCTTTTCCATTGCACTCTGAGAGGCTCTCCCATTGCCAAGCATCCAACAACACTATTTTCTACAGTGCTGAGAAACTACCACCAAGGCATTGTGCAAAACTGAAATAAGCAATGCAGGAAGACTGGGAATCTGAATAGGAAAACAGGGTCTGATTCTTTGAGGGCGATTGGTGAGAGAGGGTAGCAGAACAGTAAATAACAGAGCAGATTAGCAAGGTTTGTTCTTGAGAGGGGACATCAGTAATTTTCATACTCCTAGTCTGCATAATGCTTTGGGTTGAGGAGCTGTGTATTGGCACAGCTGATGACTATGTACTGCATTCTTGCCAGGTTCACCCTGGCCTGCATGCTGGTGTAGAGTGAGTCACTGAAAACCAGCACTCCATGGTGCACAGAGGGGACTAGAGATAAGGACTTCTCTCATAGCTGGAGAACTGGTAATGCTGCCTTGAAAGCTCACTACAGGATATACCATCTGCATCATAGCAAGAAAAATCACAAGTTAGATTTAAGGAGAAATGTCATTGGTTTATTCAGTATAGAAAGAAAAAAAAAAAAAGGTTTCACAACAAAGAAAAAGACCCCATACACTCAGTTGCGCAGACATTTGGAAAAGCTGTTTCAAAACGTTACTTTTTTTCTTTCTTTCCCTTTATATCTGCCACCTTCCACCCTGGGGAAAGCTGCATTTCAGTAGCAGGTGAGCTTCTTATGTATAATACATACAAAGGTAAATGCTTAACTGTTTATGAAATGGCTTGGACAACTTCCAGGAAAGACAATGCAATAACTGCAGTATGTTCCACTTCGGCAGCAGTTGAATGTTAATGGAAGACAAAATTAAAGCTGGTTGGAAGGCAGTGAAAGGAAACAAAGAAATAGTGTGAACAAGACTTACAGGCAGATATTGAACCACAGTGCCATTCTGCTTCCCGACAGCCAGCTGCTTTCCCTTGGGGCTCCAGCATACTAGACAAAAACAAGAGGACTTCATCAGCAACAGTCACAATAGCAGGGAAGATTCATGCAGTTCTCATACACCTCTGGGCAGCATTGCTAAACTAAACACCACTCAGGTGCCTCCTCAGCTAAGCAAACAGTTAATTCCAGTAAAGCTGTTTTGTTTCAATAGGAGCCATAACGTTTATTACCATATGGCTCATTCCGGCAAAAAGGTGATTGTGAAGAAACTTTATAATTCAGTCCAAATAAAACTGCAGCAACCTTCCAATTCTCTTTATGTGTGCTTTACAGCTACCCTACGCACATTTACACATTAATTTGAGCTGATGCAAACCCCTGCTTGGAGGCACATAGTTGAGTGCTTGCCTTAACTGAACAGGGGCATGCTAGACAGATACAGCCAAGTTTAAAATTCCTTAGAGGAGGAAAGATGCAACATAAAACTGATTTAATCATATCCGGTTGCAAAAGAAAAAAACGCATGCCCATTAAACCAATGTAACCATCTTTAGACCAGACCTGGTTTGGGTTATGAATAAAGAATGCATGTGACATACCAAAGGGCTCAGGTACCCCCTGGTCATAGAGAACTTAAGAATCTACCGACTGATTCAATAAAAAATGCAATTCTATTTTATATGTACAACAGACCACTGCATATTTCCTGCATGCAGCCACAAAAGCCTGTTACATTTTACCACTTGGGCAGAAATCATTAGCTTTTACTGTAAGGGTGTGTTGCTCAAGAAAAACCAAGGAGAAATAATACCCTAATGAAAGCTTTCAAAAATCTGAGGAAATTTAAATCCCTCTGCTTCCATGAAGATGTTAGTTTTTTTCCTGAAAGATGACTACCCTGTGTTTGTGGCCAGCCAAACCCTTTCATATTCTTTAGGCATCATGTATCCTTAAAAATTCCCACTGAGCCACAGCTGTTTTACCCACCTGATGTAACAGCCACCGAGGAAGGAAGAGTGGCATAGACCTTCACAGAGTCTGTGACCTGCAGGACAGAGATGCTGCCATCGGACAGACAGATGGCCACCATGGAGGGGATAGTAGGGTTCCATTTCAGATCGCTGACAGTTGCCATGCTGCCCGTGTCTCTGGCTAACTTATGATAAGCAAATGGGCGTTTCTGCTGTTTAGCCTTTTTAAGAGAAAATAACGTCACAGGATGCAAATTCCATGTGCTAGGCAAATCTTTCCAAAGTCACAATCCCTGGGTATTTGAACCTGCTCATCTGCAATGGTTGTTTATAGGCATTAACTGCTCCAATGTGTACCCAAACTTTAGGAAAAGCAAAAAGTTTTGTGTTCACTGCAACACACCTTCCTAGTACAATGCAAGTTTCTTCAAAATCACTGAAGGAACTTTAAAAATTGACTTCATTTTTCACCATTTACCACTAGCATACAAAGATCCCAGTTTCACAGTGCTGTAATGGCAGGGCCACTAAGACCTATGGGAATGTTTAAATAGACGAGCAAAGGATCTCTATGAGAATACTACAAGATACCAGTCCTCTTGCATGATTATTTAAATAGACACAAGGCAAAATACAGTCCCTTTTTCTAGGACCCAGTATTAATATACATTACATTCGATAGTTTGGGCTTGAACAACCTAACAATGTCCCTTTAAAAGGTGAGCAAAGTGCTGCAGAAATATTATAGCTCTAACTGAAGGCTTCTAGTTCCTGTCTATCATGTTCCGGGTTGCGGACAGTGACCTTAGTACTTAGTACTTTCGTCACTGTGCCATTTAAACATTAATTCACCTTCACAAGAATCTGTCAGGTCAGTTAATAGTCTTGTTTAACAGGTAGGAAACTTAAGGCAGATTATAACTGAAGACTCATTAAATATAGCCCTTAGTTCTTTCCCTACAAAGTGTGCTTTCTTGTGGACACTCACCCCCGCCTCCAAAAAAAACCCCAAACATTTCTAGACAGGCCCTTTCTACTGTCAAATCCTTCCTTTCACATCCAGATTTAATCACCCTGCCATAACACATGCTTTACCTGATTTAAAAATGTTCGGACATCAAAAAAGCCAACGAAGGAACCAATCTCATTGGAGGTCATGCACACAGACAGTGTGAGGTTATCACAGCTCAGAGCCAGGTGATGCACAGGAAATTTCATAGAAACCAGTATGCCTTGAACATTCTCAACTTGAAAACAAAGAGAGAAGAAAGGGGAGCAGAATGGAGTGGTCAGTTTTAGACACTCATCATGTGTACTTAAAGTAGAATTTTTACCACAAGCACATACACCCACCACCATAAATAAGACCCTATTGCTAAAAGCTGTAGACAGGCTGCCCATTAGTTTCTGGAAGCATCTTTTAAATGCCTTGACTACCTTCAAGTGAAATGATTATAATAAGGAGTTTGGAGGAATTTCCTTATATCTCACTTTGACATGTGCTTTGCTCAAAAACTGGAGAACCCAAGACTTAACCCAGTTTGATTGCAATTTTAATACAAAAATTGGAAGGACTTATGCTGAGAACAGAGTTCTCAACGTGACTTCTTTTTTTAATTTGATGGACAATATCCCAGAAGCTACCATTACTTTGGAAGTCAAGATACAAAAACAGAATCACAGAAATGAGATGACAATTTTCCCCAAGGCACTGAACCCTGCCCCTAATCCTGACTGGGTTAGGTGGATTATTGGTTTGATCTGTGCCACAATATGTTACTTCACTTTTAAATGACATCCGATAAGGAAGCCTGGCAGCTTCAAAGGCCTGGATCATTATAGCCACCTTGTGACAAGTAGAAAGAGGCAAACCTAGACGGATCAGCTACGCCACATCACTCTTACTGGGGCTCCCTACATATCCACTGTAATCAGACAAAGCTCACCAATTTTATTGGGATCTTCTCCTGCTTGATTCTGCATAAGAAGATTTTTGGTGTGGAAGACCTGCAGGCCAGTTGCTCCACCAGCAAAGACCAGCCCATATTTGTTAGACACAACAAGGAGACTGGAACGCTCTTTGGGGAGCTCATCGGGAGCATCAAAAATTCGGACTTTCTTCAGCGCTCTGAACTGAAAATCCTGTTGTGCAAAAGAATTAAACAGTGACTCGAAGTGACACGGAGAAGGGAGAAACCAATCAGATTAAAACTTACTTTTATCCAAACACAGTCTTTCAATTAGAAACGTGGGATTTACAAGAGCATCACTGAATCCAGTCTCCTGCTATTACGAGCAACTGCATCATAGCATCCCTTCCATAAATACACCTGGCTTCATGTTAAACTTTTTTTTGTAGAAATATTTCCCCCACCACACCTACAGGATGGCTGTTCCAAAAGCTAACTGTTCCAATGGTCACAAGCCTAATTTCTAAACTAAATATAATCACAGTTAGTTTATACCCATTTGATTTCATGCCAATGCTGCCCTTTAGCTTAAACAGCTCTTTTTCCCTCCCCGGATGTATTTAAAAAAAAAGTGATCATATTTCCTACTCAGCCTTTGCTTCACTAAGCTGAACAAACCAAGCTTTTTTTGTCTCCCCTCAACACAGACTCCCTGTTCTCCAGTCAACCTAGTAGCTCTTCTCTGCATCTGTCCAAGTTTGAAACCTTGGTTTCTTTAATCTGAACAACCAGAAAGAACACACAGTATTTCCAATGAGGTACCAGGGCTTTGCGCTACGGCATTAATGCCAGTACCTCCTCCTATTGGAAATTCTCCTGATATTTCCTAGGACTGTACTGCCTTTTTTACGGCTGCATCACACTGAAGAAGCCTCAGTCAACCTACAACTCGCTAGTATATGCAGACACTCCTCCTCTGTCATCTCCAAAAGATGAGCTCCCATTGTATAAAGACAAAATACACACAAATTTCTGTTGAGTGCATGAAATTTGCCCTGGGTCTGGTAATATATTTCCTTCTGCTTCTTCTCCCCTGCCTGCCATCTTATATACATACTTTCTTCCCTGACACGATCTAGCCAAAATGCCCTTCCAGCTTTTTCCAGTCTTCCCCTTTGCCTCTTGCCCTCAGTATGCACCTTCATCATTCCACCAAGTATCTTGTCCTCCTGCATTCTCTTTTGTATGCTCCAACTACACCAGCTCTTGTCTTTCTACCCATGTCTTCAACTCTGCTAATTTAACATGCTCCTTAGCACTCACTCAATCTGATCTCAAGTTCCCAATACATACCTTTATTTATTACTAGAGCCTGCAGAAATCCCTCTTTATTAAAACCCAAAGTCTCTGACCCACATAATACAACTGGAACATAATATGCTCTGTACCAACATCTTACACGAATACTTAAATACTCATTTAATTATTAGGCCACATCTAGGTTACCTTTAATCTCTACCCCAGCCTTATTGTAAAGCAGCTCCTGTTCCTACCTTGTTCGTATTTTTAGGAAGCTAAAATTAATCTTCTGTTCTTTAACATCCTTTATAAAGGTGCTCTCAGCCTGAGCTTTGACCATTTTCATTTTATGCCAACAGAACTGCTGTTCCTCACTTTCTTTCAAATGAAGAACCACCGGAATACATCGCAAATAACTCAAATGCCACAAAATGCTTGAATTTCCAAGAGAGCCAAGGCCAAACCCTTTGTAACAATCTGCTCCAGAGGTTCCAACAGGCATGGAAAGACCCACAGACTTTCCCAGGAATCACCTACAAGGATAAGGGCTGCACGCTTCACACAGGACATAAGCGATGGAAAGGAGACAAAACTCCTCTCCTATGAAATGGCATGACCAGAGTTCGAGAGAGGCCTTTCTGCTTGATACCAAAATCCCTCTTGAGGGTGGTTCAGGTGAGGCAAGGCTTTTTCTCTGCAGCAGCCGTACCCAACCTTTCATCCCTAGTCTGTGGGCTGGATCCAGGGTATGTGGGGCTGGGGGCCCTGGGTCATATCCCACACAGGGGACCATATCACCTGGCTGGGTGGGGGCTTGGAAATGTCATAGAATCGTAGAGGAGTCAGGCTAGGAGGGTCCTCCAGAGCTCATCCAGTCCAACCTCTACCTGAGGCAGGCCCAACCCCTATCCAAACCATCCTATATCATCCATCACCCAAACTCTATGCAAGACCATCAATTCTGAGCCAACACAGACCTAGCACCCAAACTGGGCACAGATAAAGCAGGGAAACCAAGGCAGCCAACGTCCCGCTTCTACAAAAGGTTACCAATATATGCCCAAGGGATCCGGGGTGGAGGCCACACACCCTGCTACAATCAATCAATTAGCACCGTTGCTCTTTACAGAGCATGGTGTATGAGCTGATGAGTTCTTTGATAGCTGCCGAGTCCAATGCACGTGTGAGGGTCTGCCCACAGACAGGACACACCACCCATGCACTAGCAATGCTCTGAA